AAAAAAAAAATACAAATTAAAAATTTCTATGATATTATCGAACCATACTATCAATTTAAAACTACTAAGTTATTATTCATGATTTATTTGAACGTTATTAAAAATAAAAAATTGTTGTCAACTTTCAATAAATCTAAATTAAGCTTAACCTCGAACAAAAGACAATTTTTAATAAAATTTGTTTTGAGAATTCTAAATTCTCAAATAAAGTTTTTCATTTTTTATATTATTAAAGTATCAAATATAGATGTTTTAGTTATATTTGCCTATAAAATTAAAAAGATTTTGAAAATATGAAACATCTATTTTTTGATGTCTAAGGTCCCTAAACATATATCATAGAAATTTGACTCTTTGTTTCTCTTATTTGCCTTTGTTATTCCAATCACACCACTATCTCTCTCTCTCTCTCTCTGTCTCTCTGTCTCTCTCTTTCTCTCTCTAATGGCCAATTTCAAACCCTAATCTCTCCATTCGGCCTTCAAATCACCCACGAAGAGAACGCCGATCAGCTCTCCATCAAATGCCGCCGCCGAATCCGGTTCCTCCACCAAACCTCACCGCCGCTCAAGGAGTCTCAGTTGCTTCTCCCGACTCCTTCCGGACCCCCTTGAATTCGCCGACGCTCCGAGAAGAAGATTCGACAATACAGCTCAAGGCTCAACGTTTCCCAAAATCAGCCTCGACGATCTTGCAATCGAATTCTTCTCTCTCAATGACTCCATGGATGAGAGAGACAGCTAGAGAGGCCGATCGTCGAGGCGTTTCTCTGAGATTAGTCCGGCGACCAAGGCGACTGTATCATCGCAAAGGCAAGGGAGATCATCACCAAATCGGACCTCCACCAGACACATGGTTCTGCCGATGGTAGCATGCATTGTCTAAAAAAAGCACATAATTCATTTGTGAATACATTTTCTTTTTATGCTTGAAGAACTATTCAACTCAGGTTAAATCATAATTTCTTTTTATGACAGTGTTGATAGTGTTAAATTTCTCTAAATTTGGGCACTTTTCTTTGGATTACCCTTGAATTTTCTCTGAATTTGGCAATTTTCTCTGGATCGAATATTATCTAAATTTGATAATTTTCTCTGGATTACCCTTGATTTTTCTCTAGATTACTCTTGAATTTTCTCTGGATTTGGCAATTTTCTCTGGATTACCCTTGATTTTTCTCTAGATTACTCTTGAATTTTCTCTGGATTTGGCAATTTTCTCTGGATTACCCTTGATTTTTCTCTAGATTACTCTTGAATTTTCTCTGGATTTGGCAATTTTCTCTGGATTACCCTTGATTTTTCTCTAGATTACTCTTGAATTTTCTCTGGATTTGGCAATTTTCTCTGGATTACCCTTGATTTTTCTCTAGATTACTCTTGAATTTTCTCTGGATTTGGCAATTTTCTCTGGATTACCCTTGATTTTTCTCTAGATTACTCTTGAATTTTCTCTGGATTTGGCAATTTTCTCTGGATTACCCTTGATTTTTCTCTAGATTACTCTTGAATTTTCTCTGGATTTGGCAATTTTCTCTGGATTACCCTTGATTTTTCTCTAGATTACTCTTGAATTTTCTCTGGATTTGGCAATTTTCTCTGGATTACCCTTGATTTTTCTCTAGATTACTCTTGAATTTTCTCTGGATTTGGCAATTTTCTCTGGATTACCCTTGATTTTTCTCTAGATTACTCTTGAATTTTCTCTGGATTTGGCAATTTTCTCTGGATTACCCTTGATTTTTCTCTAGATTACTCTTGAATTTTCTCTGGATTTGGCAATTTTCTCTGGATTACCCTTGATTTTTCTCTAGATTACTCTTGAATTTTCTCTGGATTTGGCAATTTTCTCTGGATTACCCTTGATTTTTCTCTAGATTACTCTTGAATTTTCTCTGGATTTGGCAATTTTCTCTGGATTACCCTTGATTTTTCTCTAGATTACTCTTGAATTTTCTCTGGATTTGGCAATTTTCTCTGGATTACCCTTGAATTTTCTCTGGTTTCAATTTTCTTTGATTTTTCTCTAGTTTGAATTTTCGCTGGTAAAGGATTTTGAATTTTCTCTGGTAAATGATTTGAATTTCTCTGGTAAGGACATAGAGTTTGAATTTTCTCTGTTCATGATAGCATTTGTTAAGCACATAGAGTTTCAGATCTTCTTTGCTAAAGGGTGTGTGCTTCTTCATATTGCCATCGATCTGGAGAGTTTACTTTGAGAGGAAGCTTGAAATACTTGGCCATGATTGGCTGAGGCTGGTTGTTGGAGACATTGTATTGGCATTTTCATGGGTATTCTTCCTTGTGTACTCTTGGAGGGAAAAGTATGATTAATTTCAGTAGAATTGAAATGTCTCTTTGATTGAAACAGAAACTTAATGTTTAGCTTTGTACTTTTGAAGGCATTTCAATAAAATCGAAATTTCTCTGGAGAGAAATAAAGAATTTCTCTGGACAGAATTTCTCTAGATCAAATTGAGGGACCTTAGACATTATGAAAATATTAGATGTCCTTTATACTATAAAGTGTAACGACTCCAAAATCCGTATCCGAAATTACTTTTATGCCCTTGTGGGTTAATGCATTTTAATTTAATGATATCTGTTTGAATTGAAGCATTATCTGTTGAGTTACGGCTTTAGAATTGAAATTACCGACCTTTACGGGTTCAAAAATCAAAATTGAGTACTTGGGTATGCTAATGGGAATTTTTAGAACTATTTGGGAGAATTAATTAGAAATCTAATTTGTCTAATTCGTTAATGCACGTTCGGGTGGTTAACTTGGTACTGCAAATTGAAGGCCTTAAAGGCTTCAAAAACCATAATAGAGGGTATATTTATGATCAGCACAATTTTTAGAGTCACCTGGGAAGTTTAATTGAAATGTGATTTCGTGCGATTCATAAGGCCCTGTTTGGCTCTCCCTATTGTGTTAAACTTATGTGTGTGTATATTTAAATGTATATATATGTGAAAAGAGGAGTTGAACTCATCTCTTAGAGCCCAAAGATATCTAGGGGAGGAGAGAGGATGATACGTGAGAGAGAGGGGGGGAGAGAGAACTCAAAGAGAAGAAATGGAAGAAGACATCAAAGACTTGGCTTGAATTCATCATAGTTATGCAAAAACAAGTGATGGAAAAGGTTTGAGGTAAGATTCTCCCTCTTAACACTTGAAGATCATAAGCTAAAGAGTGAGTTCTTGGGTTATCTATGATTGTGTGTATGGGTTATGGTTCTTCAAGAGGCTAAAGAAGAATTCCACCATGAATGTCACGACCCCAAACCGCCCCTAATAGTTTGGTGCCGTGATGGCCAGTAATCTGAGATTACCGAAGGCCAACTTTCAAAATTCACACACAATCAGAGTATAATTATATGGGGCTCACAAGTGCGGAAGCAATAATCTAAAATACAAGTGGTCCATAAGAGTAGTGCATAAGTTAAATGG